TACAAAGGGTTTTCTAGTTTCTTGCCCTTGATTAAGTCCATTTCTGCAGCGCTGAGCTGGTTGGTGAGAGTGAGAGATAAATGTGTCCACGGGGACCGGAAGAAGAGGAAGGGGGAAGCTGCTGCGTGTCAAAATTTATAGTTTTTTTATGCCAAAAGAGACCACATTTGTACTGTTTCTCTTAAAACCCCTTCAGGCAATAAAGGGAAGTCTGATGGTAGGTCTACATTGGGACCAAGTAACCTCGGGGGACAAGGGCCCCCTTCTTAATACCATCTATTTATTCACCCCTTCCTGTCCAAAAGGTTTTCAGTGTCTTAATTCCTCAAAAATGGAAGCCCATTTCTACTTCGTAGTCTGTTCTTTGTCTGGAATTTGTCCTGAAAACGGGTCACTTTGGGTGACCCAGCTAGCACTTGAAATACCAAAGACATAGCTTCCAACACCACCCACAAGCCACCATACGTAGTACGACAAACTGACGGACAAGGGGTGAAAACGCGGAAGACCCACTGCAACAAGATGGATTAACAGAGTGGCCGCATCCATGGACTCCAACATTTAAGAACAATTGTGAGATGCCGCAGGACCGAGCAGTGTTTCTATGGCTACAAGTCTGCACCAACCGAATGGCGCCTAACACCCTTTCTCTGTGCCACGTCAGGGGGTAGACAGGAAAAGCCAGCCTCTTCGGCCTGGAGTTAGCTTCTGCTGTGCAGGGTAGGATTGCATTCAGGGTCATTTTGCCATTGACTTTTGTTTGGGGTTTGCTGCTAGAGCAGGAATTTACGCAGTGGAAAGAGGCCAGGGAAAAGTTGTTTTGTTTGTTTTTGTTTATGTTTCAAAGTTTAAAGATTATCTCAGGATAATAGATTCAGGCTTTATCCAACCTAAATGCCTCTAGAAAGTTTGGCTTCCACTGAGAATTGGAAATACTGTTCATTCCTCCCACCACTTTGTCCCTACTTTTTAAATTGCTTTATAATTTGTATACCATACAATCAAAGGCTTTAAAGGAGGTGGGGGGAATTTGAGGGGAGACCCAGAGGTCGCTGAATTTCACCCAAACTTATCAAAATTAAAAGCTTATTAGCTGGGTTCAACAACCAATTGATCCAGCTGAAGTAGAGCACCGAAAAAACAAGGTACTTTTTTTAGAGATCTGGGATTTGTAATGACAAGTTTGACAGGGATGGAATTCATCAGAGAATCAGAAGGCCAACCAGAGAGATTAATACAGATTTGAAATTGAAAAGATCAGGGCTGAGAATTTTTTTAAATTATGCATTCATGTAATGATTACAAATGATATTGTATGAATAATGATTACACATATGCTGATTTTCATAAAGCCAGGCCTCTTTCACAATGAAAGAGAAGATGACAGCAGACTGAAGCACTGCTTGAAATGTGTGGGGTAGGGAGTAATTGGGCAATGACTTATTTACATGTATTTGGCATCTAGCTAACTTAACCACTTATTGTTAATTTTAATAAATTCAAATATTTTATGGACTCAAAATAAATGTTAATGAACTGTCATGTTTTCATTGCATATAATACTACCATTAATAAACAAATATGTTTTATCCTC